TGAGTTCAGCGCCTTCCCATCCGTTCAGCTTAGGTGCCGTGGATAAAATTAGCCGCATCCTCGTCTACGCAGTCAACCAGTATAAGTCCTGGGCGAAAGTGTATCCCGCTAAATCGTAGCTTGGCATCCCATCCTTTATACATCTCCTCAATGAGAAGTTCCTCGATTTTACCTTGCTCCTCCCTAGAAAGAGTAGATTCCGGGTAAGATTTCGGAAGAATTGCTATTCTTAAGCTCTTGGCTACATTAGCGTAACTGCTGCCCGATATTATTTTTCTCGGTTGTTTTGGTGCTGTCATTTGCGTACCATCCTTTGCTTGTGGAGGTTTCTCATTCCCTCTTCTTTTCTTAGCTGATTGATGATCGATCGGACTAATTTCTTGGGCAGACCTCTTCTTAGAGTCTTGATTGCCCCTCGGCCGATTGAGCGCCTTTTCCTTGGCTGCCTCCGGTGCTAAGCCTTCTTTGAGATAGCGCAGGTACCATTTTGTACCCGCACCGCTCAAACCAGTAGATTTCCTGGCGTCGCGAAAGCTTTGGCCGGAGTTTAGTCCAGTGCTTGTCGAGGGCTGTGGTAGTGTTTCGATCGTTACATCTTTTGGTGCAACCTTTGAACCCAGAGTTCCTTGACTTCCTTTTCGTAACGAAAGTTCCGTTTTTGATTCAGTTGGCAGAGAGCTAGTATTGTTCCTAGCTTCTTTGCCCTCAGTACTTTTTTCCGCTTTCCGTTTTGGAAAGGGTGCCTGGCGATCGGTATGTTGGATATCAGACTCCGACCGATTTACCAGTTTATTTGCAGTGTGTGTTCCTGCTGGTTTTTTTATATTGTTTTTATTATTTTTATTCAAATTATGTTCCATTAAATTCCCACGAGTGTGGGGGAAAGGAGGTCCGCCGTGTCATAGCCCCCGATAACACGGTAAGCCCACAGTTACTCAATGAGGCGGGCAGGTATCATTGAGGTGCGACGCTAGAATACAGTCTGTTACCCCCGACTGCAAACAAGTCCGATGAACACGTGCAAATTCCGGATTGGGGGGGAAGATGGAGGTGGAGAGGGATAGGGGTATTGAAATGTTGATAGTAGGGAATATTTAGGAATGGGAAGGTGCGGGTTTGGCTCGCATTAGCCGCTATAAGCGTTACCAGGGATCACCACGTGGAGGCCCTCCTTTCGAAGGGGGTGAGTACTTGGGATTAGTCTCACCTGCGAGTCCATCTAGTGAAATACTAGGATCCCCACCTTTCGAAATTAGTGCGATATTAATATAAAGACAAAACTAATAAACGGTGAATGTATCCGTTCAAGAAATTATTTTAAGGTGTCTTCTTTCTTTAAAGACAACAGTTTACTACAAGAAAAAATTAAATATACTACGGATAAAATAAAAAAGTATTCTTTTATATCTTCTTTCTACTCCTACATTTAGCTGATTGAAATTCTTACATAGTACTACACATTTGTCATCTATTCACGTAATAAATAATAACACTAATTTAAAGCCAAACATTACCAAAGACGAGACCCACATATTCCATAATGAAATTCCATAGAATTCGAAAAAAAATTTTTCTATTATAATGTTTTCCCCATATTTACGAAAAGCTGTAATTTGGGTTCTTCTGATACCTCTACATACTTACATATGCTCCCGAAACTTTTGTTTGTGGTCTTAAAGCATATAATGTTATATTATACTATTTTGAATTGTGCCAAATTAAAGCTGAAACTAGCGTTAATATTTAAATGTACTTAACGTCGAGGAGAAGCAATTATTTTAATTCCTTTAGTCACAAATGTACAGATGAAGATATTTTCTTTTAAGAATTATTTTTTTTCATTTTTAATTATACATTTTTTATGGCTAAATATAAAAATTGAATTAAAATTTAAAAAGTTAGATGTATTCAATTTTTCCATATTTGCTTAAAATAAGAGTTTTTTTGAACTACTCAAATAAGTTCTAGTCATATTCTAAAAAATCGTCATATGGAAAAACCCGTTTTTTGTTATATATTTTCTAAAATGTAGAACGGAAAATAAAATTGTATTATTGCAAAGTGAAAAAAATGGTTAATGTTAAATATTAAAATATTACATTTTTTATTAAAGTAAAATTCAACTTCACATATGTGTATATTCAAAATTTTTATTGTGATATACGTGTGCATTCCGCACACGTTTTATGGCGTGAAATAATCACTCCTGTTATAATTGTCCAACTAAAATCTACCAACAGACTTGTATACCAATATCCTTGATATTTCTTTCTATAGCTGAGATATCCTAGTGAAAGTTTTCATCTTGTTCGGTATTTTTTGCACCGAGATTTGAAGGGAAAAAGTTCGAATGAGAATGTAACAAATATATTTTATAACAAATATTTGCTCCAAATTACTTTGTAATTGTTAAAAAGGGATGTTTGCAAAGCCAAGTTTTATATACAGCGACGGCAAAATTATCTGACTCGTTTTAGTAAGAGCTTTGTTCGCTATATTTTGACCTAATATCATGTGATTATAGTAAAAATCTTGAATAAAGGAACTAAGAAAATTTACGATATTCATTTACTTTGTTGAATTATATAATTATTTCTACTACTGAAGATGTCAGATAAATACTTAAGGTTTTGGTAGATAAGCTAGCTCATTAGCTCATTAGAACTTTAAATGAAATCTCAAAAACGCTGGCATTTCCATTTACACTATTGTGTTCTTGTATATTTGATGGAGTTTGAAGAATTGGCATTGAATTGTTTTAATTTGCAGTTGCCACTTCTAGGTACTTTATCTACTTTCTTATATTCTTTGGTTTAAAATTTTTGTTAATAAAAAAAAATTAATGCATTTACAAAAAAACAACTTCTGGTTTCGAATTATAATACATGCTCTGTAGGGGGTACAGATTTAGTATTATTTAATTTTTTTTTTTTTCTCTTAAATGTAAAATTTCACGTTACACAAACTTCTCACCAAACGAAATATTTTCTGTTTACAAAGAATAAAAATGTAAGATTAGTCTTAAATAATATCTATCCAAACAAAATAACAGGAAGTCATGTAAGAGATAAGATTGGTACTTCTAAAATCTCTACTTTTAAGTATTTCCAATAGAAATATTTAAAATAATAAGCACTTTAATTTTACAAATCACAACAAAATTATTAATACTGAAATAATATGTCATAAATATTTTCATTAGTAAAGAGAACACGTTCTATTACTATATTCCTCTTTTCTCTTCACATATGAATAAGCGTTATTTTTGGTAATATTCATAAAATTACATGGTACCCCAATTGAACTCCAACTAACTTTAGACTACTTTATCTTTATTATATTATTACATCTATATTTTATATAATCTTGCAAGCGCATGCTTACTTGCTTTTATAAAAAAATAAAATTCCATGATAGAATTCAACGTAATAATGTGATAGTGCTATATAGTATTTAAGGAAAAAATTAGAAGAGAATATTGTCGGTCATTTTTTGCGACTGACAAATAGTGAGTGGACCATTGCCACCTCAACAGCCAGGTCGAGGGCTACATGGGCAACCTATTCCAAATGTAGAACCTCTGACTTAATACATAGACGCAAATTAGGGGTATCTTGGTTAATATCTGTCTTTAAAGGGCACTGGACCATAGAGCGGCATGGAGCTAGACTTGGCTTACTCTGTGGTATCTCCTGTAAAGCGTGTCTACCAAATCTCGAAGAAAGGCCACCTGTACTCTTGATGTGTCTATATCTAGGTTTAACCAGAACTAGAGATAAGTTTCTGGGGGCCTCCTTCTTCAACACACTTGGCGATATGTTCAGATTTTTGCCTTTATAAATGCCTCTGGCTGGTTGACCTTCTCTCTACTATTACGAGGTTTTGTGGATTCATTACGGCTTTTTTAGCTATTTGAAGAGAACTAGTTCCTCCGGCCACCACAACTAACTAACTATTGTCAATGTCGGGGGCAAAGCTGGCAACTAAAATAAATCTTTTCCAGAAATTTCTAAGAAAACCATAAAAATATTTTACTGAAATATGATACTTAAATAATCACCATATCAGAGAGAGAGAGAGAGAGAGAGAGAGAGAGAGAGAGAGAGAGAGAGAGAGAGAGAAAGAGTTGTTTAATTAGTAGCTATAATCGATATATCTTGTTGTATATTGGGTAAATTATAAAATCTATTTGTAACGAATATCAACTTTACGGTCTGTAAATTATGTTAGCCATTTACTTCACTTTGCGAAAAAAATCTGACTAAAGTTTTAATTATAAAATAAATAAATAAACTTGCATACTACAGAAATCCATATAATTTCATATCTTCGTGGTTAATGCTTAACATCTTAAGCATTAACTTTTGACTTACTTGTCAAAGTAGCTTTTCGATGGTTTAGAACTTCTTGTTAGCTTCATAAATTCTAAAAAAAGTATATGAGAAATATGAGAAAGAAAAATTAAAAAACTTTTGCAATTATAAAAACATTTCAACCGGTATAACAGGCAGACAACCTAATAGCACCGGAAATTTCATTAAAAACTTTTACGAAAAACTTAAATCAATTCAAATGGCTACTCACCTTTTTTGCTTGCAAAATTTTCAGCCCAAGAAAATTCTCTAAACTCATAGAAACTGATACATTTGCGAAAGGCACAGTAGAAATATACGAAAGTAAATAGAAAATATCAGGTGGTGTAGAAAAATATCATTTTTACGCTTCATTAAAGTGAAAAATATGAAATTCACAACGTACAGCTTGAATTTATTTATCATTCAGTTAAGAAAGTTCTTTACTTGAAAATTTTTCCAACAATTTTTTTTCTCGTCTTTGGTTCATTTTGAGTAATCATTGTAGCGGAACATATTTAAAAGATGAAATCGCTTGATA